TATAGCCTTCTTCTTACATTTAATTTTAAATACAATAATATAGTTTTAAAGAAAAACAGTTAAAATAAAATTCATATAGAATGTTATCTTTTTAAAACAATTTTTCCTGAAATATGTAAATTATAAAAAAAATTATAATTAATTATTTCAATATTAATTACTTATAATTTATTATCTTCCTTAGCATATTTCCAAAAATATTTTCTGAATATTCGAGAAACAAGATTTATTTCAAATTATTTCAATTATTTCACTTATTATTTCAAATCCTCATTTCGAATACAAAGCACGACAATTGTATTTTATTACTCCATTATTTCAAAAATTATGGTTCATCATGACATTACTTATATCTTAATATGTGAGTGGACTGAGCACAAAGGAATTTCTTTTGCAAATTTTAAAGTGCATTAACAAGTTATTTGTCTTTTGATCAAAATATTGCTAAGAAATCATGGGACAATGACAATCAGTTAATTAAAACATAAATTTTTTTCTAAGAAGTCGAATAAATTAATTTAAACATGTATTTTACATATAATATTTAAAAAAAAAATCGTTGAAATTATTAAGACTGTTTCACTCGTAACTTCTGAAAATAACTTAAACTTTTTTATTAAATGAATAACTTTAAGTAAATTTTAATGTACACTTTTGTTTTTAGGCACACATAATGTTCATTAATTATTTTTTTCAGAGATATGATATCGATAGTTCGTGTGCATACGTTTCCAGAAATAAACTAATTTTGACATGTACTTTACGCACAGAGCTTAAAAGTATAATTATTAAAGTTTCAAAAACTATTTTACTTGTATTTTTAAATTATTTTAAAATTATTTAGTAAATGAATAATTTTAATTATGCAACATTATGACGCTAAAATACTTGATGGGAGAAAATCGATTTAGCTAGCTTATAGCGTGATCATCTATCATGAAATTTTAAATTTCGGTACGTAAAAATTTATAAATATCAAACTATTTGCAAAAAAAAAAAAAAAAGAAAAAAAAAATTAAGCTAAGTAAGTTTTGCAAATAATCTAAGATGTAAAAAAGTTTTTAAGAAATACTAAATTCAGTAGAAATCACGACAAACTTTAAATCTAGCGAGCATAAGTATTCCAGAAATTCTGAAAGTTGTACAAAAATTATTCATCTTATTTTGTTCGTAAGAAACTTTAGTAACAAATTATTAAAATATCAAACATTTTTATAAAGTGTTAAACAAAACGTTTAGACAGAAATCTTTAAATTCATTAGCAATCACACTTTAAGTCTACTTTTCTTAAAAACTACTCCATAAGACCGAAAATAAATAAATAAAAGATGTTCTAAAATCATTTTATCTAACTGTAAGAGCTTTGTAAAAAGCAATTTTAATAAAATATTTCTAAAGTCTAGACTAGCATGATGCTAGTCTTTTCAAGTGAAATTGATGTAGGCCTTATCGCCTTTCGATTAGTTGATTTTTTTCAATTATTCAACGAAATTTTATTTCTTCAACTGATATCAAGTTTTAATATATTTGTAACATGAAACTTCAGTATATTTGTGTTTTTTGCTATTGTCGCAATGTCATACTTTGCTCAGATAAGACTTTTATAATGTTTTACAAAAAGTAAATAATGAGCAATCCAAACATCAAGCGTTAAATCTGACGTCATACCCAAAATAAAAATGACACACTACTCCAAAATTCGTAAACAAAAGAAAGTAATCTACCGGTAATAAGTATGTCATACTTAGCGTTGTAATTCAATAGGTAACTTATATATGTTCAATAGCATTAGTTAATTCTAAAAATCATTAAAACAGAGTTTATAATGATTGCAAATCTACTTACTTTACTGATTGTTTATCCACATGGTTACCATGAAATGATAATTAAAGAACTAAACACATTAGATTGTTGACAAAGCCAAATGAAGAACCAACTGCGTGGAAATCCCTTTGCAATTCTTTCAGATGAAAAGTCTCATTTCAAAAGGAAGTGACGAAAAATCAAAAGTAGCGAAACCAGTTTTTGTTTCTTATTGTTTTTCATGGTACAATTCGTGGTGTTCGTGTCCTCGACGCGATTTTTCTTTAGAAATAGACATAGTTTAATTAAATTAAAGATGTAATTGAAGGTTTACTTCTGGAATGCTTATTTGGGAAGTCCTCAAGGAAAAGCTTTGGTCTTTACCTTCTTCCATTACAAAATCGCATGCCGTCTGATTCTAAAAGGGCAACTTTGAAAACTGTTATTATATTTTAATTGCGATCGATAACATTTTGAAGCGGTTCAAAATTGTTTTAAGATGCTTCAGCACTTCTTCCTAAATAATTTTAATACAATTTTAAAAAATTTAAACAAATTTTCCATGTACGAAAGAGTAAGAAATAAAATTTCGAATGCAACGTACACAATTCGAGTTGACATAGTCTCAATTAACTTTCTCGTTAATATGTTCATCTTATATAAAATTAGTCTAAATGTGTTGTAAGTTTTTCGTATAAAGTTTCTACTGAAAACAAATGAAAAGTCAGGTATTTATTTCATGTTATTATTACTAATTAAGAATATCCGACTTTTCATCTGATTTCTTTAAAAGTTTCATTGAAAAGTCTCGCAACAGATAAAATTTATATTCAAATTTGTAAGATAAAAGTTATATAAAATAAAACATAACGAACTAAAAAAAAAAAAAGACTATCAACCAGATTCTTATAAGTTGTACATGAAATTTTATTTCTCTATTTTTCGCGCAACAGCACAGAAAAGTTTATTTTTTAATTTTTATAAAATTTCTCTTAAGTATCGTAAATTCTTCAAACAAATTTGAGCTTTTTTCCAATATTTTTTTCATGTAAATTTGGTACTGATAGTAAATCTCGAGTTAAGGTCAAATATATTTGTACAGCGTTTAACTGGAGGGGAAAAAATTACAAATTCTCCACTCTTTCACATACAGACTTTACAGCTTTGGTCAACATTATAAAATTACAGACAAAGCAGAAGGGAATAGATAAACAAAATTAATAAAGCTAAAATATTATAATTTTTTATTCATTCCCCTTTCCGATGGCTTAAAGTTATTCTATTAAGTAAAACACATTTTTAGAAGTTCATTGCATGAAAATAAAGAGCAAGTTTAATCAAAATCATCTAGCATGATGCAGTTACACTAGAACAGCTCATGGTATAACCTGCTTGCTCCACCTTGCGAAGTTGGTATTTGCTTTGTAGTTTTTATTTCTCTTTGCTAGAAAAAAAAATGAATAGAACTATTATAAATTCCCGGCTTAAATTTCAGATACATTCTAAGAAAAAAATAAGGTTAACTTCAAAACCACATCAGTTTTTCGCACGAGCATCAAACATTTTTCAAAATGTTTCATTCTTAAATTCCTTACATAGAAAAAATAAGATCATTTGAATATGATCTTTTTACGATCTCATATTGAAAGTAAAATTTGAAAAACTTTTGTCAAATTTCCTAATTAAGAATGGTGACAAAATACTGCAATTTGTATGTTTTCGGAAGATTGTGCACCAACACTAATCCCACATTCTTAATTAAAATAAAAGTTTTAGTTTTAAAGCCTAAACTTTGCAGTTATATTCAAGTTTAAGTTCTATTTAAATTTCTTTCATTCACCATTAAATTTTTGTCAGCAATATGTACTAAAACAAGGCAAAAGAAAAGGGAACCAAAAACTTCCAATATTTTTAGATACTTAAAAAGTGCGGTTATTTTTTTAACGCAAGATTCCCAGAAATATCAACAAAATGCTCGAAACTTTTTAATACTATTTTTAGAAGATTGATAAAATTAGAACTTATCCAATGCAACTCTCAAGCCTGAAAAACTTCCACTTCTAAATGCTTATTTTTATAATTCTCAAAAACACGAATTTCAAAAGTAGTATGCTTTCTTATATGCACTCAATAGATCTTAGCTTCAAATTTAGAATTCAGATTTCCATAAATTGCATACCCCTATATCCTTACGTAATGCATACAGATAGTCAATTTCAATGGAACACTTTCCTTTATATAAAGAAAGCGTACTAAATATTTGCAAAGTCGTCGCTTTCAAACAGCGTTCATTCATTTCTATACATAAACTTAGCCCTTTCTCCAAAAACTGATATTTGAGAGCAAAATACTTCACTGCTTCACGTAATTCAAAATACGCATTTTAAGTAAAATTGAACTGGAGCATCAACCATAAGCGGAAATCTAGAGATGATTCAATACAATCAGAATATCATTGCACTTTTCTATTGAGTACCCCAAATTTATAGATTCGGATTTCTTACTAGAATTGAACAAGACATTTAAATGCAGGCACTTATTTCGAAACAATGCAAAGACTCAATTTCTGCAGAGCTGGAACTTCAAGAATAAAAACTTATCTTGGGCACATGATTAATATCAAAATTGTGTGAACAACTTGAAATCACTTTTAATAGGGCAATGAAATTATTTTGTAAATCAGACCAGCTAAAAGGAATTAGAAACTTAATTTTACATTTTTATTGAAAATTTTTAATCAAAGCTAAAATATTTAAATTTAAAAGGCTAATATGAATTTAAGCAAAATGCTATACTGAAACAAATTGCAAAGTTTTAATTTATATTTATTAGAAATTAACTGTTAAACCCCAGTTAGAAAATTTAAAAAAGTTATTTAGTTTAGTCTTAAACAAAACACCAATTTCTAGACCATACAATTTAGAAAAATGTTGGTATTTTCTGTTTTTAGTGAGTGGGTTCTAGTGCATTTGAGGTAAAAGTTTCCAATTATTATCTTACACTTTTGTCAAACAGGTCAGAAAACTGGACCTTCAAAAACCTAAAGTGAAGAAAGTAACCTAGACATCTTAAATATCACTGTAAAATTTGGCACTTAAGATGTTAGCCATAACTACGTCAAGAACAAATTTGAAAGTAAAACAGACATTCTATTTAAATAGTTTTAAATATTTATCAGACAATGAGAGATTTCTTAGAAAAGTTAAAAACATTTATTCAAATAGAAACAGTGCTAAGCATTGTTCAACAATGCATTGAAATTTCTTATAGAAGCAGGAGAAAAACTGGTACTGCGGTAAGGATAAGACTAAAAGGATGAATCACAGTTGCACCAGAATTACATTGCGCTTTATATTCTGCACAGTTCACTTCAGACATAGCAGCTGCAAATATTCTAGCTGTACCCAGTAACTTTTTAAGCTCCTTCTGATCAATCTGGCAGTTTGATCTCTTATAGCCATTTAGAGCACATTTCTCGTAGTCTTCCAAAGCACTACAAGAGATTAACATTCATTAAGAAAACTAGTCAAGTTTAACGATTTTATAATTAAACTCAAGCATTAAAACAAAACAAAGTTAAGGAATTATGAAAGTACAAGTTTATCTACAGATTAATGGATAGTTTTGCACAATTTTTTACTTAAAGTGGAAAAATTTGTTTACAACTTTGTGTACAAGCTACATTATTAAAATTAGTTACATTGCAGATTGATCTCCAAAATCTAAACAGCTTAAGACATACAATTATTCAAAAGAAAGCTAACATTACACACACTTTTATTACACCATGAATATATTAAAGCAGAAATTTCTCTATTGGAAAATATTGTCACCAAGTGTTAAATTCTGGCGGCTTTTCTTTACACTTTATGATTTATTACGTTTCGAACTAGTAGCCGATTGAATAAATTTACTTTAAAGTAATAAATTAGTATGACCCTTAAACATTTCGTTATAGTTAAGAATTTTAATAGCATTCTAGAATATCAAATGTCTAGAACCAGACAAACTGCGAAAAACATAATGAACAGTAAGAAGTTCTCATTTTAATTCCATACTGAAAATGGCCAACTTCTGTTACAAAAATAGCGCAAAAGCCAGGAGGGACAAGACCGAGTTAAAAGTAAGACTATACGAACTTTTGATTTAAAATAAACTCAAGACCGATCAAATGTAAAGCTACAATAGAGAAACTAAGAAGCTTAAGACCATGTTTATCTCTGAAACTATACAAATTTTAACTTTTCCAAAACAATCCATAGCTGAGCTTGTAATTAAATTACTATATCCAAAACACTAAACTGCGCTACTCCAATTTTAAGAATAACTTGATATTTAAGGTAGCAACAAAATTAAATTACGTACTTGAAGGGTACCGTAAAATTTTTTCTCTCAAAAGTTTTCAAATTAAATAAGTCATATAGGAATCTTTAAGCCTAAAAGTGAAAATTCGAAGTATTTTCTTCGAAGTTCTAGAGGACACTTTAAGGGACCTTAAGAGCAAGTTTATTATCTGAGATTTATTAAACAGTTACTGAAGCTTATTGTAAATAAGCACAAGTTCAGATTAATACTTTAATCTTGGAATTTAAAAATATTCAATTACCAGCAAACTCCACCATTATTTTCCTCATCGTGAAGGCTTATGACAGTCTGCTCAAACCTATCATGACAACCATCTTCGATCTTGTTTTTCAGATTTACAAGGCAGCCAGTACTATCAGTAACAACTACAAAGATTATTGAATTAGTGTAATCAAAATGAAAGTCATAAAAATAAAACTGAACTATTTCTAAATCAGCTTTAGCACGTACACTTAGAAGCTAGATGTCTCGCTTATTTTGAGTTATATTTTTAAAAATAAACTTTTTAAATACTTATTTCTTCCAAATTAGTGTCAAGTCATTTTTCTGAATTGAGTGAGTACTCAAAAATATGGCCTCATGATATTTAAAATTTTGTTATGAGCATAGTTAGCAGTTACTGTAAACTTTTACAATAGAGTGGTTTTAAAATTTCTATTAACTACTTATAGTAAAATATGTACACACAGTATATAATAAGCTGAAGTGAAACTTTATTTCTATTAATACTTTTATGTTTTATTCAAAAGCTTTCACTAAATTCAGATTTTGAAGCAAAATTTGCTGAAGGTGAAATATGTAGTAACTCAAAATGACTCATTCGTATTTATACCATTTAAAGTATTTCGAAAAGAATTTTGCAGGGGCACTGTTCAAAATATTAATAAATCATTTTCTAATGTCATTGTACGGAGCACAAACGTTAACTCTGAATAAACTTATTTAAATCTTTCAGTTCTGAAAAAAAAATCTGAGTCCTTTATAACTCAAAGAGTGAACTTTGAACATTGTTAAAGTATGCGATAAAAATGAAACTTCAGACTTTTCACGAATAGAAATACATTTTTAATTTTGATTTATTTTTAACCACAATACTAAAGAGAGTGGAGCATTAGTTCATAATTTAATTTGCGAATCTAAGCTTACGCCCATTTATAAAATTAGTATGTTAAAAACTTTTCACGTTGCAATTTAATCTAACAATATGTCATTCGTAAGACAAGAGTTTTGAATCTTCAAAATACGCATTATTAATGATAAAATTTAAAATCTTCAAACGCTGAAAAGTTAGCTTATTTGTTATTAAACTTAATATTTAACAAGATGTTTCTTAGATTAAGATCAAAATGTTATTAGGAGTAAAAATAGTTTACAGTCGTTGCAACGCATAGATTTGATTCGGGTAATTAATTTCAGAAAGAGAGATACAAAATCTGAATTAAGACATTAACCTTAAAGTTAAAGAGTTGAAAGCTGGTACTTTATATAAATTCTTTTCATGGATAAACACTTAGGAAAAAACAGTTTTTCAAATTATTAATTTTCAGAATCAGATAAAAGCCCTCATGAAATTTAATACTAATTTCTAAAACCGATTAAACTCACTATCTGAACTTGCTGACTAACTGTCTGAACGATTTAAATTGTTTCAACTAGTAATAGACATATCACAAAACATGTCAACTAGAAGTAAGAAAATCTCTTGCATAGTAACGCATTTATAAAAAACTAGGACTAAATACACTTCCAGAGCCAAGCTAGAGGTTTGAATAATGTAGAAATTTATTAAAGGAAAACTGCAGTTTATTGAGAAATGAAGACAAAACCAAGTACTTACGTTGATCTAAAGTGGTTTCTTCTATTTCAGTTTCAGTGGTATGTTCTGTAGTCTGAGTTGTGGGGTTAACTTTTAATTCCTGCATGCTTCGTGTGGTGGTTTCAGACTCGCTTGAATTTCCAGGAGTTGTCTCATTCAAGGATAGCACCGTTGTAACAGTTTCATTCACAGTAACTGAAGTTGTAGGTGAAGTGCTCAGATTAAAAGCCTCTTTTGGAATACGAAAAAGTCCAGTGTTGTCATCATGGACATCACTGGATAAAGTCCCAGCTAAAACAAAGTTTACAGTACATTAAAGTGCTCCAAGGAAAAATACAAGCTAAAACTAGAACTTTAAATTCAGACTAGAGTTCCAATTAAAACTTAATAATTGTCCTGATCAGGGTAGCGAGAATACCTTAAATGCAACATTTCACCAAAATTTAGTTTATTGCTGGAAAACACATTCTACTAGAAATTAATTTCATTACAGTACAGTGCGTAGCAACCATAGTTTTCAAAAATTAAGTACCTAAGGCAATTAAAACCTCGTTATGTACAACAGTAAAGTTGAATTTACGAAGCAGTCATTTACAAAAGAAATAGGAAATATGTAAAAATGCGGATTTAAATAAGCGACAATATTTAAGTGGTTTCGAATAGTACTAACAGATTTTCAATCCAAAGATTTAAAACTTTAAATACTGGGATCAAATTAAGCATAAAGTCAATGCTCGAAGTTTTAAATATCATTTTAAAGCAAAATCAAGAGCTTAAAATAGAGTTAAACTTCGAAAATCATTAGTAATTCAGTTTACTAGGCTGCAAGATTTCGTAAAAACAAATTACATATAATGCATGTTTTATAACATAAAACTTTTAAGTTTATTCAAAAAGACCTCAAAATTAAGTTAGAGATAAACCCATATTTTTATTTTGCAAAATTTCTATTTTCATTGAACAGTATTTTATACAAATTCATGCTATGCACTTTAATTTTTAATCTAAATTATTTCAAATAGTTATATTTGTTTGACCTATAGTTTTAGAATAGTTTCGCAATATCAAGCAAGAAGTCTTTAAAAACAACGAAATTGCCACAGATTTAAAAAGATATCACAATAGTCACTTTTTTTTTATAAATACCCGACTAGTTTTTCACAAGCACTTCATAAACGAAAAAGAAAAGTTTCAAAACAAAATAACCTTCCTCAACAATTAAACGCTAAATAGCAAATATAAGCATTTTTAATATTTACAGATCAGAATAACGAAAGTTGGATTGTTAAATTATTTATACTAATATTTATATTTATACTTATTTTTATACTTATAATTTAAACTAACGATAACACTTTACGAATATAAACGAATACAGATTATGAAAATTTATTCTAAAAATATAACAAATGTACAAATAAGAGGGACTTACCAAATAAAAGAGCTACCAGCACATATAAAATATACCCTTCCATTCTAATACTTAAAAAAATGAAGTGAATTTCATACAGTTGAAGTTCTCTCTAGTGAGTGTTTTTCAACAATAACCTGGAACTTTCCTTTAGCCAGTATAAAACAATGTCTGAGTACGCAACAAGCAGAATTATTTTTCCCAAGAACTCGTGGTTTATATAAAAGGAGCAGGGAGAACTTATTTGCATAAAACTGAGTTGAGTTAAAGTAGTAGTAAGCTGATGATCAGTTCTTGGTAATAAGATGTGAGGGTGGTAGGTTAGATTCCTGCCATAATTATAAACAAGATATATCTATTCCTGTCCCGCAGTGGACTGATCGTTAAGACACGGTTCCCAGCAGATCACCGAAGTCAAGCATCACTGACTGCGGTTAGTGTGCGGGTGGGTGACCACTTGGATCAGTCTGCGTAGGGACCGAGGGTGTGCGGTATTGGTCCTCGTTAAACTGTTCTACCGTAAAGTGCTCGACTTCGCGTGCAGGTCGTCGGGCTACCGAAGCGGGGGTGCCATCCCCACTGCATAGGATCAAAATTGTGATGGCATGTCTTCGGATCATCCTCAGGGATGTTTCCCAGACCGTCACCAAGAGCCAATTGTGCAGCTCTAGTGCGACGTAAATGAACAAATCAATCAATATCTATTCCTTTCGCTTTGAAACGTCCTTCTGTACATAGTAGTAGTAGTAGTTCATTTTCGTCGCACTAGAGCTGCACAATCGGCTATTGGCGACGGTGTGGGAAACATCCCTGAGGATGATCCTCCGAAGACATACCATCACAATTTTGATTCTCTGCAGAGGGGATGGCACCCCCACTCGGTAGCCCGACGACCTGCACGCGAAGTCAAGCACTTTACGGTAGAACAGTTTAACGAGGACCAATACCGCACACCCTCGATCCCTACGCAGACTGATCCAAGTGGCCAACCACCCGTACACTGACAGCAGCCAGTGATGCTTGACTTCGGTGATCTGCTGGGAGCCGTGTCTTAACGATCCACTACATTACGGAAATCCTTCTGTACATACATGCGTGTAAGAATGAATTAAGAATAAATCTATTCCGTGAGCATTTAGCACATACAACCGAGCGCAGATGTGGCCAAATGGTCTCACCATCCCACTAAACATTCTGTAGTGCTGAGGTAGCGGGTTCAAATACTTCCGTAAACCTAGATGTATCTGCGTGCAGTAAGGTCTAATAAGCCGTTCTTTGCACTGATAACACAAGTCTGTGTATGTATGTATAACAGTAATAAAATAAATAAATAACCAAAGAGAAAGCAGATACTTCTAAAGTTAATTCAAACATGCTTAGTTTTTAATATTTGTGTTTTTTTATTATGTTTGTGATAAGCATTAATTCCCCTTTTGCAAGGGATAAAAGCGAATAGTATATGTCTTTTTACTACCACTCATATTTTATTCTTTACTCGAAATGTTTTTTATTTTAACATTATCTTTATATTATGATTAATGCTCTCCATTACAATATAGCAACTCTAAACTTAAGGAAGTTTCTGCTAGGTTATGAAGCTTTTCTGTGACTTTATATTTTGTGACAGTTAAGAACCAAGTATATAGTCAACACTGTACTATCTATCATAGTAAGCATAATTATAAACAATACATAATGTTTAAAGTTATTGTATATGATCCATTTTATGATAATAATTCAATTTAGAAAATTTGAACTTGAACTTATGTTCCACATGACAATTTAAAAGTGACATTTATTAATTACATGGTCTGACTATTATTTATTACCTACCTAAATTTTCAGTACTTGTGTTTTAAGTTCAAAGAACGTCTCATAAGTGCATGAAAAATTGAAAGACATTAGAGAGGTGCTGCGAGCCTAGTGTTTGAGACTCGCGATTTTTTAAACTGTTTACTGTTACGCATATATTTGAAGGCTTGTGTGCTCAATAAAAAGAAAGGCATTAAATCCATTACCAAATTGTAGAGCATTGGTAACAGTTAAAGAAGGATGGCACAAGAAACATGCAAAATTTATTACGGAATTCGAAAGCACCACGCTTCATAGCATTTGACGCAATGAGATTCAAGAAGATTGATGAGCTAGTTTGTACCACGAAGAAGGATCGCGAAGAATCATACGAGCACATCATTCAATTAAGACCAACTTTGACAGTATCAGTAATAAAGCATATGAATTGCTTGATTTAAAGAAGAAATAGATGGATTTAATTAAACATTTAGAATCAATTTTTTATTTGCTATTTTTCTTCTTCAATAACCAGCATACGTCATTGTCATCTTTTATTTCTGCTTGCTAAATAAATTTTTAGAACATACAGAATTTAGTTTACTATTCTTCTCAGTGTGCGCACGGTTTTTTGGTTTAACTCCATGGTAACTCCAGAAAAACTGATATATTTGACTCTTTTAGATATAAAAAATAGGTCAAAATGAAATATAAAAAGGTATTTTGTGTTACATTTTATATAATTTGAAAATCAAAGGCTGTCATTTAAAGCTAAAAAGGCACGAACAAAAAACATCTCAACTCAAAATCAGACTGAATACAAAAGCATTTATCCTAATTGAAAGTGTCGTATAAAGTACAAGAATAGCTAATTTAAAGTTAAACTCTGATCAAACTTTAAATAATAATAATATAAAATTAGAAGGCGAAACAATTAATTTTTCTCTGCAGAAAAATTCCACAAGGCATGGAAAATCAAAAAATCAAAACTCAACAGCTATGATATTTAAAAACTGCCCTTTTTTTAAAAAATAAACAAAAAAACTGTCCAAGATTTGCGAGAATTTCTCGAACGAGCTTTTGGAAAATACTTTTATATCCACTTATGTGACATCATCGTTGGTAAATCGAAGCATTTGTCGATTTAGAAGCAGCAATCAAGTTCGAAACATACGCGTAACGTCTCTTACATGTATCCAATTAAATTTTACTTAAATCACATGATTTGGCACAATAATTTAACTTCTTCTCGAGTTGCAAGTACCCAATTACAATGCTGGTGAAGGTAAACAAAATTCTACAACGCACAAACTTATATACCTATTTTATTCATGTAGAACTCTGTCACCTCGCTCGTCACCAACTAACCATATCTAGTGGGTCACACTTTCGGCCATCAAGTTGGTAAAATAGATAATTCACTAAAATCTGGGATCCCGCCAAACTAGCACAATGAATAATTGGCATAGATCATGTTGGTCTTAATTACAGCTTTACATACAATGTGAGTCTTGTTTGTGACAGGAGTGTAATAATATTTTTTTTAATCTATGTATTTTTATTCTCGTTTTTCTGTATTTTTTTTTATGGAAATGCATAACTGTAAGCCATGAAGGCTATAATTTAAACAGAAAGAATAAATATCAACAAAGGAGCATCAATAAGTGATGTTCATAATGAAAGGGGAAAAATGAAATTATAACTATCGGCAATATGAAATGAAAGTTTTTCTCCTTTATTACTTCTCTTTTCTAAGCCTGTTGAGTCCTTTGAGCAGAAGATGGATAAGTTTGAAAATATCAATCTCATAGAACTCAATCCGTAAACGTTTTGGTGCTTAGCTTTTTTGCATCCTACAGTTTCCAGGCAAACTTCCTTGCACCCTAAGTTCTCATGAACAATATCCGAAGCAAATACATAAGTAAAATTTTAGCATTATTTAACACTAATCAACGCTGTTGTCTAGCATGATATCGACAATTTCCTCTCCAATGAAAAAGTTGAAGATGACCCTGGCATCCCAGATCTGCTCTCACATTTTTACACATTTTATACCATCTACATAAGTTAGTGCTGATTTTACCGTAGTGAACTTCCCCTATCTCATGACTGTCCTCTTCAACTTTTTCTTCTTCAATTAAAAAAAATGATATCACAGTTTATTATTTCTTCATCAATGGTGGTTTAATCAGCTATGCCACTTTATCGGTAACTGAGGAACGTCACCAATAAAAAGAATCACATTATAATTTATTTGGTCACGTTAATAGCATGCTTTGATCCGCGTTTATAGTCAGACATTTAAAACAGCAGACAAAATTTGCTAGGCACAAAGATCTTTAACTGTTTATATTTCAGAGCAAACATTTTACTTAAACTTATTTTTATTTCCCCATCAGAAGATGGCAAATGTGACGTATCGTGATTTGTCGGTAGAGCTTATTCAAATAATTTGAAAAAAAAATTAAATTGAAGGAAGAATCCTCTCCAAGAGAAAAACGCATAGAGGAAAGTGGATTATAACCGGATAACTAAGATTCGAAGGTATTTTTGAACTAAATTGTACGACCTAGAAATTTTCAATTTACACTAAAATTTTCTTTATTTAAATGTGTACTATGCATAATCTTTGAAAAAATCATTGATGAACTATTTTTTATAAAAAACTTTTTTTCTAAAAAAAAGTCAAATTATGTGTACACCTGGTCTTACGCCAGTTGGGGTAAGACCAGATGTTCATATAAATTCTATAGAATTCTATACATTTAAAAATATACAATAATTTTATTAAAAAATGTAGCAGAATTTTTTTTCCATTTGACAATTTAATAATATTTTGCATGCAATTCACATGAGATGTAGTTATCTTCTTCTTCCACTGAGCTGCAGTTCCGTGGGTCCATTAAAGACCTATACCAATTGGGAGTTAGATCAGGTAGTAAACAATCGTGTTCCCACTAAGTGTGCCTTTTCTTTCCTCGAGAGCAGACATTATCGAAACAAAACAGTACAGTGCTACAAATTTACTGAATTCTTATTGTTTGTTAGGGTATGAATCTGTAATATATGTAAATTAAGCTGAACTAAAAAGAATTGTTATAACTGTAATGATTTTTATAACTGTAATAAGGACAGTTAAAAAACAAAATAACGTTACACAGTTTATATTGTAAAACAAACTTTCCTACACAGACAATCAACAATATGTCATTATAACAGTACTCCTTCTTGAATAGTTGAGTGTAATTCAAAGTCTGTACGCTAGAAAAGCAGAACAAATTTTACCGCAATCTGGGTAGCCGGTCTTTTCCTACTCATGCGCTTCTCTCTCTCTACTCCACCCTTATTAAAAATAAACTCTTCTTACAAGTTTTCTCCTCCAACTCATGGTGGTCAAATTATACCACGTAACGAGAATCACTTCT